GAATTCAAAACTGAAGATACCTTTTTAACCAATCAACCAATAGCATACATAATGCTTGATGGTCAAACAAGAGAGTTGTGTCAAGAGAAAGGTCAGTAGTAGAAAGGCACAAATAATGAAAAGAAAGCTCAAAAATTTCACAGATGGTATAATTATCAACACAAAATAATTCACAGATCTAAAGTAATTAAGAGGATCAAAAACTGGTTTTGCAAAATTTCTAGACACGCAATCATTATAAAAATACCCATCTGAACCCCCCGATAAGGTAAATTGTGGAGTCAGACAAACTGTTTCTAAAATTTGTATGTTAATGTAATAGGGCCGTCAACGGCATGATAAACATGAGGAAGAGGAGCAAGTTAAGGGAACTTTCTCCACAACAAACGAAGATAAGCTCCAAGGCTGGGGCACAGACCAGTAGACGATAGACCAATGGTTGAACAGAATTAGACCGCCTGCAGAGACTCAGACCTCTGTGGCTACTTGGTAATGACAAAAGTGTTCTGGTAGGTTGGAAGATAAAGAATCAACTCTTTGGTAAATGATGCTGGAAAAAAATTGTCAGTGAGTACATTGCCAGTCTCTTGTCAGCCTCACATCAGTCTCCCTTCCAGGGCCCTCCGTTTTGTTGGTCTCTCTCTCAGTTTTCTGTCTCTCTTGCTCTCTTTCTTGTTGATTTAGACTTTTCTCCCTTTATTTTGGTGCACTGTGTGGAGTGAGAAAAGGCTTGTGTTTACTTCACAATGTTTGAATGAAAGAAAATTAAGCAGCATACGTCTCACTTAAAAAAATAGACTTTTTATAGACTAATATATAATATAGCTTTTATCTTCTTTGAAATTTTGATATAGTTGCTAATATTTCAGAGTGTATTGAAAAGAAAGTCTAGTAATTTCTTCTTCTATGTGACAGTAAGAACATAGCATTAATTCATTATGAGAAAATACAAAAAACAGGAACTAGATACAAGAAATGCTTGTTTGTGTATACAGGTATGTCTGCAGCATGTAAATTCTGGGTTCAGGATTTCAACCATTAGCTCTGTTTGAGAATCAGTGGCCCTACTTTCATCATATCTAATATTGGAAATGTTTCCTGGGGAAAGTCATTTTATTGTTTTTAATAGAGTTTTCAAGAAAAGGTATTTTCCCCAGTGCCAGCCCTCCACCTACTATGCTTTCCCTGATATCATTTAATAGCGTGCTTTCTCATTGGAGGCACAGTAAGAAACATGGCGATGGTGGCAGCAGAATCCTCAGCCTCAGAAGATGATTGTTGGGAGCATCTCCTGGGCCCTGGAGCACAGTTGCCATGGTAACTCTGCTGCTCTGCCAAGACTGCTTCTCTGTGTGGGAGGAAAGAAGCTCCCCTGCCAGCAGCTACGTGGGATTCTGGCAGCTGGAGAGAACACCGAAATGGTGCACTGCTTCCCCAGATGGGAGTTCTGAAAGCCGCCTTCACAAGCCAATAGGCAACTCAGGTCTCACAGAAGAGTGGGGCGATCAGAGTCCAGCCCATTACGAGTGCAAAATGTGCATCAAAAGTTTCTTACTTTGAGTAAAAGTTTTGCAGAGGATCAGGACTGAAAATGGGGCTTCCCTAGTTGCTCAGTTGGTAAAGAATTTGCCTGCAGTGCGGGAGACCTGGGTTCGATCCCTGGGTTGGGAAGATCCCCTGGAGAAGGGAAAGGCTACCCACTCCAGTATTCTGGCCTAGAGAATTCCGTGGCCTGTATAGTGTATGGGGTTGCAAAGAGTCAGACACGACTGAGTGACTCTCCCTTCACAGGACTGAAATGGAAAGATTATAACCTGATCTGATGGTAAAGGAGGTTTAGAGGAGCTGGTACTTATCCATGAGGGTATCATCAGTCTGAGGGATTTAAGTGACAGCATTTAAATAGAAAGTTAAATATTTCTGTTTAATTTGGAGATTTTAAGCTCATCTGGAAATGCCTGTTAACTCAGGCTTGTCGATTTGGGTTTACTCAGTATTGAAATTTCTCTCATGTTTTCCTAAATTTAAAAGGCAGTTTTCAATGAAAGCTATACTTGATGTTTGGGCTTCCCTGGTGGTTCAGATGGTAAAGAATCTGCCTGCAATGCTGGAGACCTGGATTCGATTCCTGGGTGGGGATTCCCTGGAGAAGGGAATGGCTACCCACTCCAGTGTTCTTGCCTGGAAAATTCCATGGACAGAGGAGCCTGGTGGGCTACAGTCCATGGGGTCGCAAAGAGTCAGACATGAGCGACTCACACTTTCACTTTATACTTTATACTACACAGACTATGGCACAAAGAGCATCTCCCCTCCCACCATATATATAGAGTCTAGGCAACCAGGCTTGGTTGCTTGTAGGCTAGAATTGGTCCAACAGAGAAAACATGAAATAAGCAGAAACTGACTGGAATTAATAACAAAATTAATCAGAAATTCTTTTTTTGCCACTTTATTTTTTAATTGAAGGATAATTGCTTTATAGAATTTTATTGTTTTCTGTCAGACATCAACAAGAATCAGCCATAGGTACACCCATGTCCCCTCCCTCCCATCTCCCTCCCATCCTACCCTTCTAGATCATTACAGATCCCCTGTTTGAGTTCCCTGAGTCATATAACAAATTCCCTTTTGCTATCTATTTTGCATATGGTATTGTGAGTTTCCATGTTACTCATGACAGTCTGGTGACCACCAGTGGGCCTACCCTCCCTTGGGTCCTGAGACAGTCACAATTTATCTTTACTCTCTTAGAAGCTTGAGGTGTAGGATCAGCAAAGGTAATTCCTATCTATGAATTCGGTGTTTGGACTCTTTCCTGTATATTTGACTCCTGTTCCTAAGGGTTTCGTGGATACTTTAATCAGACACCTCAGTGTCTGCAGTAGAAATGCCACACATTTAGATCCTTCAAGAAAAATCGGGAGAGAAACTACGAAGGACAAGGATTTGAGATCATGGGGCTGTTGGGGACACTTGCCAAAATTAAGAGTAGCTCTTCTTTGGGTTGGTACCAATTTTAGGATTTTTCTTTATTTTTAAACAGTCCAAAGATTTTTTGTTTCTTTTTTGCTACCCTGTTAATCTCTGCTCAAAACTGTGTTCAGTGACATTCAGATACTCCACACACTGGTCTCACCCAACTACCAGTGAAATTTCTTCCTATCACAGGAGGTGGCAAGATGTTCTAACCTTTTCTACTTAACCACATTGTGTGTGCATGTGTGTGCATGCACATGTGTGTTGTGATTGCATGCACGTGTGTATTGTGTGTATCGTGTGTGTCTGGGGAGGAATGTTCAGGAAATAATTTGCCTGTGCTAGCAAGAGCTGTGGAAGTGGGAAGGTGTTCAAACTTCTTTTTTTAACCTCTCCTGGGACAGATAAGATGATCCATAATTCTCTTAAGGAGGCTAGTTCAATGAACACTAAAACAGCAGACTAGCCCCCCTCTGAATGTAAAGTTACCTCACACAGGAACTTTGCAATCACTGCATGGTTCATATGAAGCTTATAAACATATACACATTATAGGTAAAACAACACACAGACCTTCCCATGAATGAAATACAGTACATAACAATCCATTTTCCAATATTATTTGTTATTAGTTTCTGAAGAGATGAAAAGTCAGTAACATGGAGAGAATTTGACGGGTTTCAGCATTACAGAAGGAAATTTGATCCAAAATTTCCAAAAGATGATAGGTCGGAGGAACTTTTTGAAATAGGATATGTGTGGGGAAGCAGTGGGGAGCAGAGGTGAAACTGATACATTGAGTTCCTCTGTGCTTGCTGCCCATCTAACCTGAACTTCCCTTTCTCAGCAGTGGCTGGGAAATAGTATCTCATCAGTATTTCTTGTGGCAAAACATATATACCTAGGCATTTCTAGTTAATGCCTTAGAAGAACATATCTGAGGTGACTGGAGTTCTAATACTTATTTTGAATATCAACAACCAAGGTTAAGTGATGTTTCAGACTAGTTTAAAGCCATCTTTTGAAAATGGAAGACTAAAATGATGAAACTTCTAAAAGCAAAGTAATTACTGTGGTCAAACAATTTTTGGAAACCATATTACAACACAATAAAATTAATCTGTATAATAGTTACAGATATATCTAATAATGATAGATGTAACATTTACTGAGTAGTTACTCTATGTCATGCACTGTTTTCTGTTAGCTCATTTAATGCTCACTAGAACCACTTGAGTCCATTTTATTGTCACTCTTTTACAAATGATTAATTCAGAAGAATACCTCACCCTGAAACACAGAAGGGTGGAGTCCCTAGCCCATTCAGGTCTCTCTTTTCTAAACTCAAAGTGATTCAAAAGTAATGTGCCTTCCTACATGCAGTGCCTTCCTGCATTCTCTTTCACTTTTAGTAAATGCTGGTCAACGTTCACTAAATTGGATTCACACACAGCTAACAGGTTTTGACTCACTGTGTAAAAGAAACAGGCCCAGGGAGTTGAAAAGAATAAACGTCATGGAAATAAAAACCAGAATGTGAAATTTGAGAGTGATACAGTCAAGATAGAATGATATGCATGTATAGTGAAGATTTACTATTATAGGAAATCTGGGGCTTCCCTAGCGGTTCAGTGGCTAAGACTCTACACTCCCAACACAGGGGGCGTGAGTTCAATCCCTGGTTGGGAAACTAGGATCCCACATACCTTGTGGTGCAGCCAAAAAAAAAAAAAAAAGGAAATCTGATTTGGGAAGGAAGGGCTTCTGTAATTTTGGGGTAGAAGAGGAAACCCCCAGCAGAAGTAAGCCTTCTCTTGCCTGTGGAGGATGGTTGCTAGTTAAGAAACTTGATTTTTATACTTTCCAGGACACCATAGGACTGGATTTGTGTGGTTGATCTTATGTCATCTATAAATGCAATACATAATATGTTCCATATTCCTTTAAGTTTGAGAAAAAGTTTCATTAGATTAACACGGAATATTAATTTCTAATTTTTTTTTTCTGTTGGTCTTTTGCAGGGTGTTTTGAGTGCTGTATTAAATGCCTGGGCGGCATTCCCTACGCCTCTCTGATCGCCACCATCCTGCTGTATGCTGGGGTTGCCCTGTTCTGTGGCTGTGGTCATGAAGCACTTTCTGGAACTGTCAACATCCTGCAAACCTACTTTGAGATGGCCAGAACTGCTGGAGATACACTGGACGTCTTTACCATGTAGGTCATTCTGGCATCGCTTCTCATTTTGAGAGTGTATGTGCTCAGTGCTGTGTGTTAAATAAACGGGTCTAGAGATAAGTGAGGCAGTATTTTATAGAAGAAAAAATACTTTTAGGGAGGGTGAAAAGCATGTCCCCTTGGACATAATGATAACAGAATTTTCAGGAAAAATTGAAATAATTCATGTTTATCTAAAATATATTGGCACTTAAGATTGGAGACAGATTGGTCATAAAATAAGAAACCTAACAAAACATGTGTGTGATAATGCCCCACCCTCAAACCATACACACACATAATGATTAAAAGGAGGTCGCTGTTGATTAGACACTCAGATAGGAAGGTAAATTATTTTAAAATAGTCCCTAACTCCGAAGCATCAAGTTAGAACTTCGTCAATGTCACTGACAAATGGAAATGAATAAATAGAAAATATTAAAAATAATGAAGAAAGAAGTAAGGAAATTATATCCCTTATATTTCCCAGTGTAACTTTATTTTACAAATTCTGAAAATTCAGCGTTATCCATTAAATTGAATTTTTTAAGCCTGTAGTAGACAGTTTATTGATTAACACTGAATTAGATATATAACATGAATTGATCCTTGAAAGTTTATGAATGATACTCATCATTTGGAATATAATTAAACTATCTGAAAATGCTTTGGATTATTACATGTTGGTTTGCAAAGAGCCTTAAGCAAATGATTCCACAGATATATTTTAATGTGACAATACTGACATTTTCTTTTTAGTTTTATCTCAGCCTACACTGGACAAAATATGTTTTCACTGTGCATTATTTTAAGCTACCACAGATGTCTTTAAGATCTACAGATCCTCTATATTTAGGCTACATCCAAAGTGCTAACTTTTAGTTATAGAAGTTTGGAAGAAATAAGAAGCTTAATAAGTGGCATGGAATGATTGACTGTATAAATCTACTGAAAACCAGTTGCCAGCATGTTTATTTGACATTTAGACAATAAACCTTTATAGAGCACAAACCTTGACGAAAGTTCCACAGAGTTGCACATATGCGGGTGCAGCAGAAAAATCAGAGGTCATAGGCTAACTTTGGAACTTTAATCTTTGATCTCTTATACTGGGAGTGAAATGTGAAATCAATAATGCATCTTTGGCATGAGAAGAATGCCATTTAGATTGGAATAAAAGCAAGTGCTCAAATTCTCTCTTTTCATATTTCAAATAACTAAAAACCCTTATCCTAAGCCCTTTGAAGCTAGCGAATGAATTAAAACCCTCTTCCTGTTGGCAAACAGTTCATGAAAACACAGAGGGAAGATGTGTACTAGTAACTCCTGGTTATGGAGTTACTGGTTATGATTAAACCAGGCGGTACATCCAAGGTCACATAGTGGCTGAGAAGTTGTAGCGTTTTCAGAAGTCAGAGTTTTCTAAAGAACACATGGGCTCCTTAGAATGTAGTGATTTACTGTCAGTGAATGTGCTTAGACAAGGCTAGTAATGAACCTCCAATTCTGAGATGCTTTCAATCTATGTTGTTCAGTTGCTCAGCCATGTCCACCTCTTTGCAACCTCATGGACTGCAGCACACCAGGCTTCCCTGTCCTTTACCATTTCCCTGAGCTTGCTCAAACTCATGTCCATCAAGTCAGTGATGCCATACAACCATCTCATCCTCTGTCCCCTTCTCCTCCTGCCTCAATCTTTCCCAGCATCTGGGTCTTTTCTAATGAGTCTGCTCTTCGTATCAAGTGGCCAAAGTGTTGGAGCTTCAGTTTCAGCATCAGTCCTTCCAATGAATATTCAGGACTGATTTCCTTGAACTTTGACTGGTTTGATCTCCTTTCTGTCCAAGGGACTCAAGAATCTTCTTCAGCACCACAGTTCAAAAACATCAATTCCTCAGTGCTCAGCCTTTTTTATTGTCCAACTCACATCCATACATGACTACTGGAAAAACCATAGCTTTGACTATACAGACCTTTGTAGGCAAAGTAATGTTTCTGCTTTTTAATTAGCTGTCTAGGTTTGCCATAGCTTTTCTTCCAATGAGCAAACATGTTTTAATTTCATGACTGCAGTCACAGTTCACAGTGATTTTGGAGCTCAAAAAAATAAAGTCTATATTTACCTAATACACATTACAATCTATATTCACTTGCTAAACCTCAGTCTTCTTTATTCAAGAACAGTTATTTTAGGATTAGTGTTTATTTTGCTGTTTGGGTTATTGCAAATATCAAGTATGGAAATATATTTAAAGCTCCTTGAATTTATTATACTTCTACCATGTACTTCTTTTCAAATATTCACATTTTTTTTCAAGACAGTCTTTAGTCTGGTTTGTTTTTTAATTAATTCATTTAGCAAATATTACGGGGTTATACTCTGTGCAAATCACTGTGCTAATCTTTAGGGACACAAAGTAGAACAGAACAAATTATTTTTCCTCTTGTACTGACATAGGAAAGATACGTTAGCAAAGTGAGATCCACATTAGACTCAGTTCAGTTCAGTTCAGTCTCTCAGTCATATCTGACTCTGCGACCCCATGGACTGCAGCACGCCAGGCCTCCCTGTCCATCACCAACGCCCGGAGTTTACTCAAACTCATGCCCATTGAGTCGGTGATGCCTTCCAACCATCTCGTCCTCTGTCGTCCCCTTCTTCTCCTGCCTTCAATCTTTCCCAGTATCAGGGTCTTTTCAAATGAGTCAGTTCTTCGCGTCAAGTGGCCAAAGTATTGGAGTTTCAGCTTCAGCATCAGTCCTTCCAATGAACACCCAGGACTGATCTCCTTCAGGATGGACTGGGTGGATCTCCTTGCAGTCCAAGGGACTCTCAAGAGTCTTCTCCAACACCACAGTTCAGAAACATTAGATTCAACAGATATGAATCAGATAATGGTAATTAGTACTTGAGCTAATTTCGAGGATGCATCAGGTTAATGAAGTAGAGAGAGTTGAGAAGCTGCAATAATTGATACCACATGGCGTTGGCACAGACATACCTAGAAGTACTTATACGTACATACAAAATTATGTTCCTACTCACATTTTTACCAGAAATTTTTCAGATGGATTTAAAGTTAAACTTTAAGAGTAAAGTAATATATAAAAAGATTTGAAAAAAAAAAAAGAGTAATATGTAAAAGTTCAGATTTAAATGGAGCTTCCCTGGTGGCTCAGATGGTAAAGAATCTTCCTGCAATGTAGGAAACACAAGTTCAGTCCCTGGGTCAGGAAGATCCCCTGGAGAAAGGAATGGCAACCCACCCAGTATACTTGCCTGCAGAATTCCATGGAGAAAGGAGCCTAGTGGGCTACAATCCAAGGGATCACAGAGTCAGACACAGCTGAGCAACTGACACACACACAGATTTAAGTATAGATTTAAAATTTTACTTCTTATGGGGCAAGAAGTATGTAAACAATACAAGAAATTACAATATATAGATTTGAGATAATAAAAATTAAATTTTGCTCATTAAAGTATTATAAAAAGTTAAAAGGTGTTTAAAAACTGAGAAATATATTTACCACTTACAAGATTTCCTAGATTTAATAGAATAAATTCAAGAAAAGGATACATATTCTAGTAGAATAATTGGCAAAATATAAAAACATGTTTCTTATAGAATACAAATGACTAATAGCTTGTAAATATGTGTTTATCCATACCACTAAACCAAGAAAATTAATTAAAATGATAATGCCATTGCTTTTAAACTATCAGTTTATTAGAAAAGTTGAATGGTAATTCTCAGTATTGGGAAACAGAGAATAGACCCTCTTACTAATTATCCATGCATTTTTATTTTGGCACAAACTTTCTGGACACTGTTTTCACAATACATACCTTAAAAATTTCTAGGAATTTATCCCAGAGAAATGACCTACACTGCCCAAGGATTTATCTTAAATGATGTTTGTAATAGCGGTGCGTAGCTTCCTATTACTGCTGTAAGAAGTTACAACAAATCCAGTGGACTAGACAAACACATTTATTCTTTTTTAACATTTCTTGAGGTCAGAAGTCTGAAATGGATCTCACTGGGCTTATTGAAATGGGGTCAAATCAAGGGATTGGCAGGACTGCGCTCCATCTGGTGGCTCCAGGAGAGAATCCACGTTCTCACTTGCTCCAGCTTCCAGGGGCACCTGCATCCTTGGCTCAGGGCCCCCTTCCCTCTTCAAAGCCAGCCGTGGAGCGTCTTCAGATTTCTCTCTGCATCTGACCCTGACTTTCCTGCATCTCTGGTTCACTGATCACTAGGACCTTGTGATTATATAACACAGGATGACCTCTGATGGTCTAGTCCATCCAAAACAGTGTGGAACAGAAGCAGAGATTATTCACGGTTTTCTTGTGACTGAATCGGAATGCCTCAGTGAGTAGTATCCTGGGTTTGGGACTGTGATGCTTACTCCATTATGAAAAATGCACCCATTCCTACTTAGGATCTTTTAGGGAACACAGTAGTTTTACTGTGAAATTGAAATAAAGACAATCAGTAAGAGGTTGTTGGGGTGCACTTTTTATTTTGTAAAAATGATCTCTAGTCTCTGAATCCAGGAAGATGCTTTGCCTTTCAGTGCCTATGTATTCTCATGTCCCAAGTTGCTGCTTATGCCCACATGGATCCTTCTCACAGTAAAAAAGAGGGGATCAGAAGTACCTCCAGAAAGAACTGTACAGGCATATTTACTTTGCTCATATATCTCTAAAAGTTACCAATATTTCTATGCTTAGAAAAAGTTTTTACAAGCAACAGTTGTTACAAGAGGGAAAAAAAAGCAATCTTGGCTACTGCAATACATTAAAAAACAAATGCTTCATTCTAAATACACTAACTTCCTAATCCCTAACACCTATAAATATTACTTTATGTGGCAAAAAAGTGAATTTTGCCTTATATGGTGTAAATGGTTTTGAGTTAGAGATCTTGGGAAGAGAAAATTATCCCGCAGTATTCAGGTAGGCACTAAAAGCAATCCCATATATCCTTATGAGAGACAGGCAGAGGATGTTTTGAGAAGAACTCAGAAGTCAGTACAGAAATCAAACATCACCAACTAAATGAAAATCAACAGTACTACTAATTTTGTAGTATCAGATGGGGACAGAGTTATCACCTACCTAGTATGTAGCCAAGAATGAGTAATCCGAATCTAACCATGAGGATACATCAGATAAACCCCAGATGAAGAATAGTGTATTTAGTAAGGAGGAAGTGGGTTGTATTCCTCAGCAGTGTTAATGTCCCGAAGACAAAGACAGGCAGCAGATGTGTTCTGAGCTAAAGGACACTAGGGAGAAACATGGCAAATGAATGCAGTACTTACCTCTGGACTGGATCCCACGTTGCAATGGGGAAATGCTATGGGTCAGTCCAGTTAATAAAAATTATATATAGAATTGTATAAGAATACAGATTATAGATTTGACACAAGTACTCTATCAACATTATATTTCTTCTTAAAATTCATTTTAATTGGAGGATAATTGCTGTACAATATTCTCTTGGTTTCTGCCATGCATCAACATGAATCAGCCATAGGTATACATATGTTCCCTCCTTCTTGAGTCTCCCTCCCACCTTCCATCCCATCCCATCCCTCTAGTTTATCACAGAGCACTGGGTTTGAGCTCCCTGCTTCATATAGCAAATTCCCACTGGCTCTCTATTTTATAAACATTATATTTCTTAAGATCGATCATTGTACTTCAGAGAATTTCCCTCCATTCAGATAAAATTATCCGAAAAAAGAAAAACACAAGTAAATGAGGGAAAATGTCATAAAGTAGATCAAGGGTTTACAGGATTTTTTGTACTATTCATTTTCTGCAACTTTTCTTTTAAATGTGAATTTGTTCTCAAATAAAAATTAAAATATATTTCAAAATAGGTTATTTTAACTTAAGCATTGTATCGACAAACCCATACAAGTTTGGTTTAACAAAACTCTTCAAAGTGTTAGTGATGTCAAATGGGATCTGAATGTTGAAATCCTCAGATTGTTTCACACGCATGATAGGCAATTCACGTCATTTGCCTCATTGCCCATGACAAAGAGAATTGTGGAATACTTAGATTTTTCAGACAGTGGGAATCAGTCACTAAACCATCGCTCTGGTACACTGAATGTTAGCAAACTCTTCTTGTGCTTTTTACATGCAACAAGTTCATTTATGCTATTACATTTTTTTTTAATTGTCATAGCATCCAAAGTTTCTAACACTCCATCAGTGTAAGCGAGCTTCCTATTCACTCTTTCCCCCTTTGTATAAACTCAACAGCATCTGTCCTTCATTTCTTGCCACCCTATCTGTTACACTCACTTTAATTATTGAGGAGAGTAAAAATCAAGTTTGGCCAGTGAAATAAAGAGAAATTTTCTTTCAAATGGATATGAAGACCACAAACACAGAACTGCAGCTAATATGTATATTTCTCCTCATACTATGTCTCCACATACTATAGCTCCACAACTACTAGTTCTAGAGTCAGAAAAACTGATTAATTTGATTTATGATTTTTTAATTTCCAAAGTGTTTGGGGGTTCCCATACAATATCTAGAATAACAACAACAACAACAAAATCCATCTGCAATTTATAGACAATATGTATTTCTCTCCCTTCAATACATGGGCACTCAATTGTCAGAAGAGAAAAAAATACTTTCCCATTTCTCTGTGGAATTATTATATAATTTGGCTCAGGCCCAGTTAATCCCATTATGTAATATTCCATTAGTGATTCTGCCTTAAAAGTTTAATTGTCAAAATTATAACTTAGCTATAAAACCATAATTTTTTCATTATTGTCAACAGAAACTATTAGTGAGGAAACCATCACAGTAAGTGTGAAATAAAACATAATTACAATTGACTCTAAGAAAAATATGACATTGTAACTTTATCAGAAATGAATGCATCATTAGCCATAAAGCTTTCTTCCTCTTGTAATGTAATGTCTTAAAAACTCAAGTGTTGTATACCTAAACCTTTGTATCTGCTATTTTGTCATAATTTTTAAAAAGTATACAGTAATTATCCTACTTATCCAATTCATCTCAGCAAAGTCCAGTATGATCCACTGCTCACCCAGGGCTACCTTGGTGTGAACCAGGGGAGAGGGGGTGGTGCAGTGGAAGGGGAAGAAACTTAGAAACATGAGGAACCAACAAATCCTGGAAGTGGCAGAAGAAAATGTACAAGCATCAGGCATATAAAGAAAAATGTTTTAAAAATCCAACCTTCATCATGAACATAAATATTCCATGGCTTTCGTTCCAAAGGACCCTGAGCACGTGGGCGTCCGCTGCTGTGGATCAGCCGTGAAGCGTTGCTGAACTAAATCACTTGGTCTTTCCTTCCAGGATTGACATCTTCAAGTATGTCATCTACGGAATTGCAGCTGCCTTCTTTGTGTACGGCATTCTACTGATGGTGGAGGGCTTCTTCACGACCGGGGCTATCAAAGATCTCTACGGGGATTTCAAAATCACCACTTGCGGCAGATGCGTGAGCGCGTGGGTACGTTCTCTGTCTGCACTCAGAGCTTCATGCGGGTTTATTTCAGTAGCACTCTGGTGTTTGTGTTCATCTGCCAGAAATGGAAGTAATATATAACATTCCCTCCTGTGATGGCTATTTAAAATCTTAATGATATTATTTTCTAATTTAAGATTATTACATGTGAAAATTCAGGTTCAAATTCTCAAATCATGTGCAATACAACTCGTTTTGCTTCTGGAGGCAGCAAACTGTTGACTGATTAATATTTTGTTTTTCCCAAATGACCCTGGGCTTCCCATACAATGTTTAGAATAATAGACAAATCCGTCTGCAATTTATAGATAAATGTATGTTTCTCCTCCTTAAATATATGTTTCTATATTTTACTGTAAATTTGGGTGGGAACTGTAATTTCTTTTTAGTTTTGATGTAAGGTAAGAATTACCCTATATTATACTTATTTAGGTTTTAAATTTTTATTGATATTTAATGGTAAATCAAACTTATAGTTGAGATAATGCAGTGCAGAAAATTTAACCACATGACATGAAAATTAAGAGTAATATGCTTTAAAGTACTTTCATATGTTTGTGCAGAATAATTTTCACAAACTTGGGAGCTTCCATTTTTAACTAACATATTTTTTCTTATTTCCTAATATTATATGAGAATATATATTTAATTACAGCATATATTTCCTATTATGTAAGGTGTCTCTAATAAGGATGGTGTCATTTATTTCAGTCTTACAGAAAAGTTCGAAAACACCAACTGTTTTTTCCACCAGCTCGTAAAAGTTGTATTATTCGCTCAGTGTCCACAATGATAATAACATGAGAAAATAGTTTGCCCATGTTATGGGTATTTGTTGTTGTCTCTGCAATAATTTCTTGTAAGGCTCTTTTGGAGAACACTGGTTTTTGTAATAGCTCAGTGTTAGGATCGGCAATATCAAATTACAGACCCAAAGGAAGTTAAGTTAAAGATCTTGGATTAATAAGTAAGGTATGAATATTCACTGGGGCCAATTTTTAGTGCTACGTAAGGGATTTCTCTATTAAGAAGGGACATTGTGATGTTAGGTTCTCTTGTATTCTGCCAAGGGCTTCCCTGGTGGTTCAGCAGTAAAGAACCCACCTGCCAATGCAGGAGCCGTGAGTTTGACCCCTGGGTGAGGAAGATGCCCTGGAGAAGGAAATGGCAACCCACTCCAGTATTCTTGCCTGAGAAATCTCATGGACAGAGGCGCCTGGCAGGCTACGGTCCATGGGGTCGCAAGAGTCAGACACGACTTAGTCACTAAGTGGTAACAAATGCTGTGCCAATAGAATATGAGGAGTTCACTTAATGATAGACTTTTTCTTATAATTAGGACAGTATCATTATAACACCACTGTTTGTCTTAGCAAATCACTTAACTCCTCCAGATCACAGTTTTCTCTCTTATGTCATAAAGACATTAGATCATCTCTAAAGCACAGTCTAGCTCGAAGAGTCCCTCATTCTGAAGCGCTAAAATCACAGAGAAAAAGGGTCTCTGAGCACACTTTTACTATTGAGGTGTGACCTTGTGCCAGAAAGAGGGCAACTGACTCTGTTGTTTCATTGAGATTGTGAAGTTTCTGCATAGGATTGCACGCAGGTCCTGGAAGAAACTGCCAATGTGTCATGAATGATTATCTGCTTGCCATTCAAACATTTCAAAGGTATCTCAAATAAGGATTTTTAAAGCAAACCCAGGAGCCACATTTTTTTCTATAATAGTAACCATTTTGTCACCGGTCCCACTTACCAGCCCAGAATGGCGGCGGCAGCGGCGTGGGCTCCCGCAGAGGGAGGCCACGGGGACCCACACCGGAGCCCAGCCGCTCCAGAGCACCCCCCTGCGCGGGAAGGAGCAGATCCCGGGGCAGAAGCAGAGCTGCGCTTTGTGGGTTTTGCAGAAGCATCGGTGCAGCAGGGAGGGCGCTGAGTCAGGCCTGGGCTGTCCCAGCACGGGCTCCAGGCAGGGGACCAGCGCCTGCAGAAAGAGACCAGCTCCGCCGCCGGGGTGGCATCGGCAGCTGCGGACTGCGCAGGGCACAGCCCTGCCGGCCTCTCTTCCCGCCGCTCACCCAGCTCCCTGCTCCTGCAGGGCTCAGGGCTCCCTGGAATCAGAGGGGAAAATAATAATGTTTTATCAGTCACACTGTCCTGCTGCTTAGGTTGTTTGCTTTCTCGTTTCCATTCTGCTGCTTTCCACCACCACCCCCCCCCCCCCCAATTTGTAGGTAAATAGTATCTTACAGTCTACTATTTTTTTTATGAGTTCACCTGTTAGCCTGTTTAATCAGTCTTCCTTAGCTTTACAAATGTCTTTTTGAAAATATATTGATGAGTTTCTATTTGGAATTCTGAGTGATATTAACAGGTGGAAAAAAACTTTTTGAAACAACCATTTTATAATATTATAGGATCAGCTTTCAGAATTAATGCTGAAAGAAAAGTATTATTCTACCCCTGTTTTTCCATGCTGTATAAAATGTAAAGTGGTCACTAGCAACTGATTTCTGCTCACAAGATGGAATTTTGCCCAATGCATAAATGCAGTTTATTTTAACGAGGCATTGCATCTCTGAATAGAAGATGCTAAATGCTATTCTCTTTTCCTGATGAATCTCTTGAAAACATAACTTGGCCTGCATTATGCACTTCTGTCATGCAGCATCAAGACCACTTCAAATTTATTTCAGATTTTTAAAGCTGTCCCTAGAAATTCTAAATGTGAGGCACATAAAACACAATAGCATGGTATTAACTTTTAGGGGTGAGGACCACTAGTTTATTAAAAACATGTGAAAATTTATTTAACTCTTCTAAGTAACGATTTTTATCTAAATTAAGTAGTAAATGGCACCAACATGAGTACAAGTCAAATGTTGCTGAATATATTAAATGTGAACTTAAATTTGATAAATATAGAAATATTTTCTTTCCTTTGAATTTCTTCCCCATTAAGTTTTTAAACCAAAAAATACATTTATTCAGTTGCAATTTGGGAGCTACTCAGTGGCTCACATCTTGAAATCTTGGGATACTTGTTACACCCATCACTAAGTTCTCTTGTCCTAAAAATTTCTCATTATGACAGCAATATGGATCTCAAATTTTATCTATGCTAGTTCTGACACATCAGATTTTGAAGCCCAACAGCTTTGAAGTAACGGAGTTCTTAAATGTGATACTTTCTTTGGAAATTAATATATTTATTTTCCATAAATCTACCTGCTCTAAGTATTCTATAAGACAATAAAAAATTTTCAAGTATATGCATTCATTTGCTAGGGCTGTCGTAACAAAGTACCATGAACTGAGTGGCTTAAATGGCAAAAACGTATTGTCTCACATTTCTGGAGGCTTCAAGTCCAAGATCAAGATGTCAGCAAGACTGGTTCCTCCCAAGGGCCATGAGGAAGCTTTGTTCCTCTAAGCTCCAGTGGGCACTGGTAATCTTTGGCGATCCAAGCTTGTAGAAGCATCACCCCAACCACAGCCTTCATCTTCACACGGTGTTCAGTCCACATGTCTGCTACTCAGATTTCCCTTTCTGAAGACCTCAGTCACATTGGGTTAGCATTCTCATTTTTAGTTTGGTTACTTCTGCAAAGCCCCCGTCTCCAAATAAGGTTACATTCTGAGGTACGGGGGGTTAGGAATTCATCATATGAATTTCAGAGGAACACAATTTTGACTCATAACGAACAGCAACAGTCTTATAACAGCAACAGTATGCCACACACAGTGTTTATGTTGCATTGTGTGTGTGTGTGTGTGTGTGTGTGTGTGTGTGTGTGTGTGCTCAGTCATGTCCGACTCTTTGCGACCCCATGGACTGTAACCCACCAGGCTCCTCTGTCCATGGGATTTCCCAGGCAAGAATACTGGAGTGGATTGCCATTTCCTACTCCAGGGGATCTTCCTAATCCAGGGATTGAACCCATGTTTCTTGTATCTCCTGCATTAGCAGGTGGATTTTTGACCACTGCATCACCTGGGAAGCACACACAATGTTTAAAGCAACAAAAATAAGCCGTTACTTTTTACCGCATTTTACAGGTAAAGAGGCATATGTATTTACAGTCATCCACTGTATCTGAGGGGATTGGTCCCAGGACTCCTATAGAGACCAAGACCCACAGATGCTTGCATCTCTTATATAAAACAGTGTAGTGTTGTATTTAACCTTACACACATCACTCCGTATACTTTAAATCATCTCTAAATTACTTATAATACCTAATACAATATAAACTCTGTAATTGTCAGTATAAATGCTATAAAATAGCTGCTGGCATGTGGCAAATTCAAGTTTTGCTTTTTGGAACTTTCTGGCATATTTTAAAAAATATTTTCCATTCATCATTGGTTAAATTCAAGGATGTCAAAAAGGAAGACCAGCTGTATTTGTTATTTTAATCTTTCCTATTAGCCTCAGATATTTATAGATTTTGACTGCAGCATATTAGACTAGTGTTCATAAGACATACTCTGTAGAATTACCTTTACAGAGTATATCTGGATTCATGGCTCATTTTCCTAACTTTAAGTTAAGTTTTAATAATAAATCCAGTATTAATAATAGGAAATGTTTGTTAGGTATTTCTATATGCCAGTTGCTATGCATGGGACTTTACAAAATACTAGGATATTTAATCTTCCAAACTATGTGAGTAGGTACCAGTATCATTGTGATGTAAATATTAATAATTACCTTTATTTCACAGATGATGTATCTGCCACCAAGAGATGAGTACATGGTGGGTGGTGGAGTCAGATTTGCATTCAAGCCTGTGTCATAGGGTCCCTCACTAACCTCATAATCAGGATTTGCCTTGTCATTTATGTTTCATTTGGACTAATTTCATAGGAGAATTATCTGGCCATGAGAGTTTTTAATAATTCACCAGCCCCTTACATTTTAGTGATATCATTCATTGGTGACTGGAAAGTTCTTTCATGGCAGAGATGTCCTCATTTTA